CACTCATACATTCATAGAAGGTGAAACATCTGAAAAGAAATATTACCTGTGTCCTTCAATATGTCAAGTGGAACCCTGCACTTTTTCTCGAAAAAGAGGCAGCCCTAACTTTAGGTAGAGTAAGGCAACCAACAATGGCAGTGTTTCTCAACCTTGGCCACTTAAGCATCCTGGCTGGGCAATTGTAGGAGTTGGAGTCCACACATCTTAAAATTACTAAGGTCGATCTAACAGATACTGGGAGAAGGAACAGCAACTGCCATCTATGCTTCTGAGCCAGTGGTGAAATCCAAATTTTTTTACTATTGGTTCTGTGGGCGTGGCTTGGTGGGCATGGTGTGGCATGGCAGGGAAAGGATACTGCAAAATCTCCATTCCCACCCCGCTCTGGGGCTAGCAAGAGGTGGTATTTGCCGGTTCTCCGAACTACTCAAAATTTCCGCTACCGGTTCTCCGAACTGCTCAAAATTTCCGCTACTGATTCTCCAGAACCTGTCAGGACCTGCTGGATTTCACTCCTGTTCTGAGCCCCGTCCCATTTGCCTTTCTTGGATGGCTGATCTGGTTTCTTTGGGCCACAACCAGGCCCTCCATCTTCCTACATTAGATTATTGCATTCAGATGTAATGAAAATTCCTTATCTCTATTCCTATAGAGATAAGATTTAACAGGCAATATTTCTGAAATAATGAGACTTGGTCTTTTAAGACTTAAGGTAAAATCAGGCATCTTTGGCTGGATATATCGCCATAAATCTGCTTGAATTTTAAAATGAGTATTTTGTGGACAGGGGGGAAGTCAAGCCCAGAGCCTATGTGGGAAGTCCCAAGGATGTTTAAATAGTAGAGGAAGTTACACCAATAGCAGCTTTTCCTTCCCAAGTACTACAGTGAAAAATGACACTTGGTAAATTCACTATGTAATTCTTGAAGTGATAAGATCTCAAAGACAAAACTATAATAAGAAACAAAAATTTCACCAAATTATGTATATATGCATAAATATATTCCATGATGTAAACAAATAGTTTAGGTTGATATTATTGCCCTTATTCAATTTCTACTTAGACTTTAAGAAAATCCAGCAAATTAGAAACTTGAGTGTTTAATAATTCTGCAACATAATGAAAACTGCTGAACTTCATATACTATCAAGGATTTGGAAATGATACTTCTTTGGCTATAATTTGCATTAGTATTTCAAGTCAAACTACCCCAATCACTTCATAAGAAGTTCCCAGTGAATTATGTTTCCAAATCTGTTGGGTCTCAAATTCCCAGATTTCCCTGCCAGCATGGGCAGTTAAATAAGGATGCATAATATATGAGTGTCCTTTCTTTTGATAATCCTATCTAGCAGATTTGGTCTATAAAAAGCTATTCATATGAATGTGTATGTCAGAGGAAAGATGCACTTTGACTCATTCAGTTTTTAGACTGTAGTACAGGCTTTAAGCCAGGAGCTTGTTGGCTTATTTCTAATGTCCTGAGACTGCGTATGGCGAATGTCCAAAAGACATGAGGATTTTATTCGTTCTTGCAGAAATCCTGAGGGCTTTGTTATTGCCTGTTAGAAGCAGATAAGATGGGAAGCAAATAATGACTGGGATTTTCAGTATTTTTTGTGCTGGGGTGTGTTTGTGGAATTTAAATAGAACCTTATAATGCCCTTGGCATCAGGACTAGAGTTATAGGGAAAGTTATGATGACCCGCTCAACTACTATTTTTAGAAGGATACAGGAGGGCTACACTTTTGTTAAAATTTGCAGAGATCGTAGGGCAGAATTTCATATCCCATTACATTCTTTTCTTTAATTAACAGAGAACCTGAGACCAGAATCAACAGATGCCTGCCCACTTGTCTACACTGTCTTTTAAGATGCCCATTTATATTAAATTGAGACCCTCTAGTTCTGTTTTTGCTTCATTCATCTGTCAAGTTGTTTATTTTGATCACAGATATCTAGATTGTAGATATGTCAGTCTCACTGTAAGGTAACTATGAATCACAGAAATTTATTATTTATTTATTTTATTCGGCTTATATGCCGCCCTATCTCACAATGGACTCAGGGCGGCTCACAACAATAAAACACAAGCCACAGTAAAAATAAAGACTAAAATCTAAAAAATTTAAATTTAATTAAAAAAATTAAATTATATTTAAATTACCTTCTGATACCATTCAGATTCTATTTATTGAGAAATTAAAGTTTCATTTCAACAGCAAGTGCATAATATATTTAAAACAATTAAAGAGAAGTCACTAGCTTTTTCAAGCTTTAGAAATACTGTTTCCAATAAACTGACTTATTCCCAAAGAGCAGATTTACTTTCTCCCAAATAAGGTATAGGATAGCTATATAACAAATAAGGTATAGGATAGCTATATAACAAGAATTCTCTGTAGACCAAAATTGTGGATTATGGCATTAATCTTGTCCCTTCGAAAGTTTCAATGGAAAAAAGATAGAGAAAATACAAATGATCTGCCAATTACTTTATGATAGGAAAAAGAAAATCATGCTGATATCGTTTCTGTTGATTGCTAAGATTGTTGTAAAACAACTTGTTTGATTTCTGCCTCCAGGTCAGTGTTAACTCTGAGTGACCACATAAATTTGAACAACTTGTTTAAACAAATCCAAAAGATTCTCATTTTTTGGTTCAATTAGTATTATTTGCATTCATCTGAAATGTGTTTATATCTAGGTGTAGTATAAGACCTATTATTACAGAAATAAACATCACTATTACCTTCTTCAGTATGATGTTTCTGAATGCTAAAGAATGAACATGGGAAGGAGAATAATATTCCTTTTACATTACATGGAAAAAGCATTAATTTTTTTCTGAGTGTACTTTTTTGAGAAATATTTTGAATAGAGAATATATAGACAATTGTTACAAGTTGAAATTAATTGACTGTTACTTATTTAAGGCCCTTAAAGAATCACACCATTAAATAAAATCACAATTTATTGTACTAAAAGTATATATAAACCATAAATTTGAGTTGTAAATCACAGTGCCTGGGTTTATACAACATACTTAAATTAACAAACTATTGTTTTGTCAAAGTGCAATGCATAAACCTAACCGGTGAATGCATTAGGAAAATAAATTCTCAAGTCTGAATTTTTATATGGCAGGACTTAAATTTTACATGGTAGAACTTACGTTCTTCTTTGCATTAATTTGCATCCACATGGTAGTATTAGTCCTACAAGATACACTAATGGCATTTCTTTTCCAGTTTGTGTCAGTGTGAGTTGATGCTAAGGTTGAATACTATTTGCATTTCCATGTGATTGCTCTCGTCCACAGGTCAAACTCGAGACATCACGTTCCTGTCACGTGATGTTTCACGGTTTTCCCATTTGCAAAGCTGGGATGGGCGTGACCTGTGTGTGACACATCCAGCGAGGGGCCGCAAGTTTGACATCCCTGCTCTAGTCAATGGAATGTAATCACCCCATGCTGATACTGATCATCAATAAAAGTCAATGCTAATTTAGAGATTCATGAATCTGTGCCTGTGCCTGGTGGAAGTGCTGTTTGTCTTACAGAACAAATATTTATTGTTGCACTTTAATCAATTTCTGGCCTGAAAATCATAGCCAGATTTTGAAGGTTCTAGGGAATGTTAAGAGGGATTAAGTTAACCTCATAATATAACATAAGAATAATAATCTTTAGCTGTTTGAGATAAAAGACAAGGGTATTTTTAAGAAACAGAAATGGGGAAAGCCCAGGATCTCACTTAACTAAAACAGTGGATGCCTTTTCATCCTTGAGCATTTCAAATAAAAGGTTGGCACACTTAAGAAATTTCTTACACACACACACACGCACACACATTATATATAATCTGTTCCTAAGAAAGCTAAAACAATGTCTGTCTGTGTGATGATTTGTAATATATAGTTTTAAATAGTTTTCCCATATCTTCTCTTACAAAGAGCTCACTTTAGTAGGGACATTACATGCTTCATCTTATGATGATGCATTTTCTATTATTAAACTTTGTCTTCCTTCAGGATAGAAGGAAGACAAAGTGTAATGATAAACAGATAAATTCTGTTTTCCTGCCTACTAAACAAATATGCTGATTAAAACCTGCCTCTTTCCCTTCTAGGTACAATAGAAATAAAAGCACTTAAGAATATTTCCATTTGGAATGCATTCATAATCATTGTGAATGCAGTACCGCATGTTCTACAAAATACATCGGTTTCCAGGCATTTTAGCTTTGAAATCTGTAATATGTATTTATTCACACTGTAGTTCTTCAACTAGGTATCTGAGACATGGACTTTCCTGGGGATTTTCTCTAGATGAGCACAAATCCTTTACATGCTTTTGAAGAAAAATGAGTAAACAAAGGAGATCCAATAAAACATATGCCATGGAGATGGAATTATCTTGCAATTGCAGATATAAACTACAGAATAGTGAAGTGTGTTGCAAAGATGTTTGTCATTACAGTAGTATTTGAGCTGATATGGTAACAACTATCTATATAGATACCTATGAGCAGTATGATTTTTGAAAACCATTGAACATCAAGAGTCAGAGAATTATTTCTAAGAATCTTGAAGCATAAATTCTATATTAAGGACTTTTTCACACGCTTGTCAAAAGTCTTCACAAATTTTGTTAGAAGCTTATCAGATGAGGCATATTTCAACAATTCACTAAAAAGTGTCATTCTGCAACTAGTGCAAGAAAATTAAGAGAAGTGAAAGATAATTCTTTTCTAATGTTCCACAAATAGAATGAATCTGGAACAAATCTCTATAGATTGTAGTCTATGGATTTATCTTAAAATTATTGTTTTTCAAAATAAAGGAAACGTATAAATTTATATAGTACTGTAATAAAACATGGTATGCTTTAAATCTTTATGCTTCTAATATTTTCTGAGGTATTCTAAGTATCTACTGTATGTACTTCAACTATCTACATATACATGAAGTCCTTTTAGGTATTTTACTCACCTGAAGTTGTCATAAGAAAATAATCTTCAGCAATCTTTATTCTGAAAACATGGAAGGAAGGAAGGAAAGATTAACCATTGTATCTACTATAGTCTTTCTTAAACTCAATTGTTTAAACATTTATCTGACTTCTAGCCAACTTTCCAAGAAGAAAGTAATCGATGGTGCCTAATGTTCCTTGCCTCCTTGATTAACCCTGGGAAGATTCTGGAAAGCAACCTAGAGCCAAACAAAGTCATAATCAGAGGCCAATATGGGTTTGTCAAAAACAGATCATGCCAGACAAATCTTATTGCATTCTTTGACAATATGACAAGATTAGTGTACCAGAGAAATGCTGTGGCTATAATTTACTTGGACTTCAGTAAAGCATTTGATAAACTAGGCCACAACCTACTATGTAATAAAATAGAAAAATGTGGGCTAGAGATTATCACCACCAGATGGATTCATAACTGGCTGACCAATCACACTCAATGTGTAGTCTTTAGTGGAACTGCATTTACATGTCAAAAAGTATGCAATGAAGTAGCCCAGTGCTCTGTCTTAGGCCCAGTACTCTTCATCTTCATTAATATTTTAGATGAAGGGATAGAAGGGAAACTCATTAAATTTACAGATGACACCAGGAGGAACAGCCAACACTCCAGAAAATAGGCTCAAGATACAAAAGGATCTCGACAGACTTGAATACTATCTAACAAAATGGAATTTAATGGTGAGAAAAGTAAGATTTAACATTTATACAAGAAAAACCAAACGCAAAGGTATAGAATAGGTGGTACCTGGCTCAATAGAAGTAATTGCAAGAGTCCTAATAGACGATTATTTAATTATGAGCAGTAGGGTGCTGCAGCTGCCAAAAAAGCCAAAACAGTCCTAGGCTGCATTAACATAGGGATAGGATCAAGATCATGTGAAGTGTTAGTACCCCTTTATAATGAATATCACACTTGGAATATTGCATTTAATTTTGGTCACCATGATATAAAAACATGTTGAAACTAGAGTGCAGAGAAGAACAACACAGATGATAATGATACTGGAGACTAAAACATACCAAGAACGGTTGCAGAAAATGGTGTTTATAGTTTAATGAAAAGAAGGACTGGGGTGGCTTGAAAGCAATGTTCCAAAATCTAAGGGGCTGCCACAAAGAGAATCACATGACCATGGCTGACCACAGCAGCCCTGAAATAACAGCACTGCAGTGGCACAGGAATGGCCACAATTTCTCCAAATTTTATTCCCATAGGAGTAATGGACCACAGCATTCTGTAATTTCGTCTCTTTGATATACCTTGGTTCAATAATTGTTGTCTTATGAGTTTCACCCAAGTGAAGGTTCCAAACAGCAGGCCCAAAAATGTTAGTACTATATACAGTAGATGACTTATCAGAGAAATTGCTATGAACAAGCAGTATCTGTTGATCTGCATTTATATTACCATTTCAAAATAAAACATAACTTTTGCAGATTAAAATGACTTGATAGTGCATCCCTAATGTTTTGCAATGTTTACTATAAGAACATGTTGTTTTCTCATTTTTATCATTAAAGTGTGAAGGCAGCATGTAAGTTTGTGACAATTATTCACATTTGTTGGCAGACAGCCAAATCTACTCTAAATCTACTCTAAATGCTCCTGCGCATGCCCAAGATGGCAGATCTTGCCTGAGACGCTCCCAGAGGATGGTGTGATCCTGGCGATTTTCGGAGGTTCCTGGGACCAATATGTCCACCCTGGCCCCAAGTCCTAACAAAGGGGTCTTCTTCCCGGCCTATTGAGGGGTTTTTCGCCCTCTGGGACATCGGGGCGAGGAAGAAACGGCCGTTTGAAGGTGCTGCAGGGCGACGGCGGTAGCGGCTTGACTGGCGGCACTTTTCTCTCCTCCGGCATGGGCCGGCGGCGGCAACTCTGCGGTGACGGCGGCGGTGGCGGTGATACAGCGTCTCCCCTGGATCCCTGGCTTCTCTGGGGCTTTTTAAGGCTCCTGGGGACTCTGGAGTATGGCGGGAGCCCTGGTGGAAGCGGCGTCGGCATCGGCAATGGCCGTGGGGGTGTCGGTTGCCACTGGATGATGGTGGAGGCGAGGGGGCAGCAGCCGGCTGCTACTGAGGATGACGGCATGGTGAGAGGCTGCTGGCTTCTATTCTGGAATAGCCTGGACCTGTTAGGGGGTGGCTCATTTTCTGCTGGCCCATTTTCCTGCAGGAATCCGGAAGCCCCGTTTGAGACTGGGGCTGCAGACTGGGGATATGAAATGACCAAATGCTGGAAGACCCGGGGAGTGGGAGAGGTTGGAGGATGGCCGAGGGTTGGCCTTAGGGCTGCCTCGGGCCATTCCCCCCTCCCCCCCTTTGTTGGTTTGTGTAGGCCTTATCATAGTCACCACCCCAGCTGCCTTCTGCCTTGCAAGCCATCTCCTTCCGTCTCCTTCCGTGTATCATCCACCCCGGGTTTGCTATTCTGCCTTCTGGACTGGCTCTATTCCACCTGTGCCCTTGATTGTGTGGAGAATGGACAGATATAATGTGGGCTCTGAGGGAGTCCGGTTTTCGACTGCCGTTTCCCTACCAGAGAGGACAGACTATCGAATCTCTCCATAGCCAACTCCATCTTGGCTAGCCATCGTGAGAGGATGGCCTGGAGGGGCATCCTCTGAGTTTTGTCGAAATGGCACGAGACTTCTCCCAGTCGTGAGAGGACAGTGGAGTCCAGTTTTACCCACGTCTTGAGTTTGCTGCCTCTCCGTTTCCAGGATGTCTTAGACTACTCTATGGAACCCTGGCCAGATGACATTTCCACCTTTTCCAGTCTTTTGGATGCACTCGCCACCGAACTTCTTGCGCTGCAAGACTCCCCCCTCTCGCAAGTCTGGCCCTCCATGTTATCGAGGGCCTACCTTGATGATGGGCTTTGGAGCCCAGAGAGGTGGCATGCAGCGAAGAGGGGGTTGAGGGGTTTTTTACATAAATTTTTAGCTAAACTTTTAAGGGACTCCAGGGAGGGGGAGGGCCAGATTAGAATTAGGGCTGTGGGTGTGGGGGATAACCCACCTAGGAGAGGGCCAGGTCTGGTTGCGAGGCGCAGCATGGGGGTGGGGGTTCCGGGGTCGAGGAGGGGGCTAGAGCTTATCCAGATGATGTTTTTGTCATCAGTACCGTGGGTGGGAGGGGCAGGCATGGCAGGAGCAGGGGTCCATAACGTGCGGGAGCGCACACTCACTGTCTTCGAGCGGTGGTGCTCTCCGGCCCCCAATGTTCTACTCGTTCCCCAGGTTGCACAGATCCTCAGGGCCCGGGCCTTCGGCTGATGTTGTGCAACACCAGGTCTGTTGTAAATAAAGCCCCCTCATCTGTGATCTTGTTCAGGAGGGGGGAGCGGACCTGGCGGGTATTACGTAGACCTGGTTGAGCCAGGAAGGGGGGTTCCCCTCGATGAAATGTGCCCACAGGTTTCCGTGCATTCCATCAGCCGAGGTCACAAGGGAGGGGCGGGGGGGTGGCGGTTGTCATTAAAGGTCTTAGGCCAAGGGAGGCCACTGTTCCTCAGACTCCTCAGTTCCTCCTTGTGAAGTGGGGTCATGGGGTACAGATGGGTTTGTTGATCACGTACCTGGCTCCCTGCCACATGGCAGCAGCCCTGCCCGAGCTACTCAACATTATAGCCGCGGTGGCAGTTGACACCCCTAGGTTTATGGTCATGGGGGATTTTAACTTGGCATCCATGGGTGAGATGTCTGAGATGGCTCAGGAGTTCATGGCTTCCATGATGGCTATGGACCTGACCCAACTAATTCATGGCCCTACCCACACGGGGAGAAACACGCTGACTTGGTTTTTGTCTCTGGACAGTGGTTGAGTGATCTCGAGATAGGGGATATAGTCACCGAGCCCTTGTCATGGTCGGATCACTCTCTCCTTTGCCTTGACCTTCGAACCGTTGCACCTTGCTGCAGGGAGGCGGAGCTGGTAAGATGGTTCCGCACCAGGCGCCTGATGGAGCCTGACAGGTTCCAGAGGGAGCTTGGGCCATTCCCTGAGGCTCTGGCTCACGCCTCGACTGGAGACCTAATGGCCGCCTGGGACAGGGCGGCCGCTGGAGCTTTGGATCGGGTCGTGCCTTTGCGGCCTCTGACCCGGGCCGGTCTCACTTGGCCCCTTGGTTTGCTGAGGAGCTGAGGGAGATGAAGCGCCGGAAAAGATGCCTGGAGAGCAGTTGGAGGGCCAGTCTTTCTGAATCCGACCGAACACTGGTAAGATCTCATATTAAGAATTACCTAGTGGCGATAAAAGCAGCAAAGTGTAATTATTTTGCTGCTCTTATTGCATCATCAGAGAACTGCCCGGCCGCCCTGTTTAGGGTGAACTGCTCCTTGCTCCACCAGGGAGTGCGGGAGGACCCCTTGGAGGGTAGAGTCAAGGACTTTGTACAGTATCTGCATGACAAAATCACTCAGATTCGGGAAGGTCTGGACTCCGACTGGGTAGTTTCAGGGGGGATGACTGAGGCAGGTCTTGAGAATGTTATCTGGGATGAGTTTGATCCTGTGACTCCTGATGACGTGGACAGGATTCTGGGTAGACTGAACATGACCACGTTTGTTGGACCTGTGTCCCTCCTGGTTAGTGCTGGCTTCTCGGGAGGTGACACGAGGCTGGCTGCAGGGGATTATACATGCTTCATTGAGTGAGGGTGACTTCCCCACTGCCTTGAAAGAGGCGGTGGTGAGGCCTCTCCTCAAGAAGACTTCCCTGGACCCGGCAGTGTTGTCTAATTATCGTCCGGTCTCCAACCTTCGCTTTGTGGCGAAGGTTGTTGAGAATGTGGTTGCGCGACAGATCCCCCAGCACCTGGATGTACCTGGATCCATTCCAGTTGGGCTTCAGGTCTGGGTACAGCACGGAAACAGCATTGGTCGCGTTGGTTGATGATCTCTGGAGGGCTCGGGACAGAGGTTGCTCCTCTGTCCTGGTCCTATTAGATCTCTCAGCGGCTTTTGATACCATCGACCATGGTTTCATACTGCACCGGTT